GTTTTAACAAAGTTCGAGCGAATACATAATTAGCAAAAAAAAGTTGAAATAAAGTGATTAAACAAAAATTATTACAAATATCGTAAATAACAGTTCACAAATGCATACATAGAGATATTTTTTGAAGGGGGAAATGGTCTTCACAATTTGAAATTGATCGAACACACAGTATAAATGCACGCCATCTATCGTAGGATAAATGTACTATGCCAGAAACCTTCACGGGAGTATATTAAACAACTTCTCAAAGTTTCACGGCAATTGGATAAACGGTGTGGTAATGCATGAAGGACACACACACACGCACACATACATGCATTCATTTTTATATATATAGATAAATGTATTGTAAAATATAACGGTAATAATAATAATAGAAGTAAAAAGCACTAAAAAAATTTAATTAATGAATAAAAAAAATAAATGGTAACATCAAATATTACACTGTATTTTCTAATAATTGTAATAAGTATGATGGTATTTATTTTTATTTTAGGTAACATTAGAAATGCGTAGTAACACAATTTGTTGGAATCCTATGGAATCATTTGTGTTTACAGTGGCCAATGAAGATCATAAGTAAAATTTCTCATCTAAAATTTTAAACTTTTATAGTCATTACATATTTCTGTACTATTCTTAAACATTATCTAACTGAAACTATTTGAAGAAATTATCAATATATTTTATTTTAATTAATCCATAGCTGAAGTGCAACATTTTTATTAATGCAAGATTTTTTTTTAAATTGGCTTTATTATTTGTGTTGTTATTTTTAATTCAGTAAAGTATGTTAAATATATTTGGCATTATTTTTAATTAAAAATAATTATTTATTTTTCAGTCTTTATTCTTTTGATTTACGCAAGCTATCAAGAGCTTCTCAAATTCATATGGATCATATATCAGCAGGTTAAATGATTTTATTTTATAGTTGTAAAACAATAAATAATTTAATAAGAATAAGAAAACAATTTAAAATAATAAGAAATTTTTTAAGTTTTTAATTAAAAATCATATTTTAGTGAAGCTGTATCATTTTTAATATTCTAGATATATTTTATAAAATTATTTATTGCAATAAATAATTATTTCAGTTCTGGATGTTGATTATTCTCCTACTGGAAAAGAATTTGTAAGTGGAAGTTATGACAAAACAATAAGAATTTTTCCTTTGACACATGGAAGAAGCAGGTAGTATTTTTTATTGGATAATTATTTAGCATTTAATAAATTATTTGACTTAGAGATGTACTGTTAATTTAAAATTGAATTGCAGAAAAACTTTTTATTAAGCTGTAAAGTTTATAAAATGAATAGAATTAGGTGCAACTTTTATTTTGATTTGTAATACTAAAATAAATGAATACAATATACAGGGTGCATAGGAAAGTCCCTTTAACCAGAAAATTTTTGCGAACAGAGAGAGCTACAGCTATGCAAGTGAGGTAACGGTATAGTAAAGCGACTATGCATGACCTAATGCAAATGACAGCAGCGCCCCTAGTGGCAAAATTTGGATGATAGGCAGTGCAAATCGAAAATGGAAACAGATAGAGCAAACTTTCCAATTAGAAAGTTTTAGAGCATCAATTAATTAGTACAAAATGACATGTGGTTCACACAGATAAGATAAATTGTCGCCTGTATATCAAAAATGTTTGAAAGTGATGCAGGCCATTTTGTGTAAACGTTTGAAAGGTATAGCCATAGGTATGAAGAAATACGCACAATTTATTGCATAAAATACATAAGTCAATACAGTTTGATAATATCACATAAAAAACAACAGAAAGGCAAACTGTCACACAGTGATAACAAGTTAATGTCGAGTATGTTCGAAAAGTTTGTCATTTGCTCACAATACACACCATTGTTATCAAACATTTTCCATTATTTTTTCTCCTAAGATGCTAATAAATTCATATCTATTTAAATGGTTCATTTCATTTATCAAATGAACAGCCAGATTCCTTTATCAGGTTATTAAGGCTAAATAATTAATAAGCAGTTTGGCAGGAGGCAGGCTACCTTCTGTCAAATTGCTTATTAATTATTTAGTTTTAACAGCCCAATAAAGGAATCCAGCTGTTCATTTGGTATTTGAAGTAATTATTGGAGTAGTTATATGTATTATACAGTAGTGGCCAAAAGTAGAGCTACCCTTGACATATGTTTTAAAAATGCAACCTCTATTTTGTTCACCACCTACTACATAATTAATATTGTGATAGTTGAAAAGAGCACAAAAAAAAGAGTCAAAATACTCAATTAACTTAAACAAATTTTATTTTAAATCTGATTTACAAAAGATGATATATAAACTATATAGAAATTATAACACCGGAAATGCTAAATTATCTCACTTCCTTGCCTGTAACTGGTGTTCTTCCTCTCCAAAACGAAGGACTTTGCAAACGTTTTCGAACCTAATTTGGTTCTTCCTCAGGCGTTACGGAATTCGCTATCTGAATTCGAATTTCCAGTCTAGAATTAACCGTTATTTGGAAAATCTTTCTGGAACGTTGTCACATGTTACCGATGGCGTCATTGTAGACTTGCGCATTATCCGTATGTTGTTACTTTAGAGATTTATTGAGGAAGGCTTCCCATGCTGTTGATATCTTCATTTCTTGTTTAAAGTTAATGCAATGCTTATTCCTGAGGATGTTAAGGCAAATGTATAAGGCCTCTAGCCATCTGAGGTGTTGTGTGCTGAATGTGGTGTGAATAATTCTGGCTAGAGGGAATAGCGGCTCTATTTCTAGGTCGGATGAGTATACCGCTAAGGCGGTGTTGTTTCTATGATGTAGGATGTCCGCTTTGTGTTCCTTGATTCTAGTTACTAAGTTGCGTTTAGTGGACCCGATGTAAATTACTTCGCTGTTGTCTCTATGATCTATGATGGGCACAGAGTATACTCCCGGAAGTCTGTTGCTGTCTGGAGAGTCTTTTCCATTTCTAAGCCAATGAATATTGTGGCGCACCTCCTAAATGCCAAGCGGACATTCTTTTTCTTGGCTATCTGGTTGTATATGGCCTTAAGTGCCGGGTTGTAGGTGATAGGTATGTACTTAACCAGGGAATCATTGGAACGAGAGGTGTTGTTGTATTGTTGTTTGAGTACATTGTTGTTTATCTTGCCTACAATGTTGTTATAGCCATGTTGTTTAGCTATTTGCTCTATGCGTCGCATTTCAGAATTGAAAGCTGATTGTGACGAGGAATGTGAATATGCTCTTTTGATTAGAGTGTTGAATGCTGCCATCTTATACTGTGGTGGGTCACATGATGTTGCAGGTATATACAAAGGTTGAGCGGTTGGTTTATGTTGATGTTGCAGGTATATACAAAGATTGAGCGAACGTTTGCAAAGTCCTTCGTTTTGGAGAGGAAGAACACCGGTTACAGGCAAGGAAGTGAGATACGATGATATATTTTACACTGTGACAAAAGTAGAGCTACCAAAGAAAGTATGCAGATTTGTCCAGTATTTTTAGGACAATATATTAGTATTTCATCGCATAATCAGAGCTTCTGATCACTGCATCACATCTACGTTCCATTGAATTAACTAAAGCTTGTTCCATTGCATAAAGCTTGTTGCGAAAGTGATGAAGTGTTTTCAAATATATGGGACCATTGTTTCTGCCAAAAAATCTTGTAGAACATGAAAAACAACACCACAGTTGGATCGTTTGATCAGGCATATGAGTGCAGCCAACCCTTGTTTGACTGCTTCACATATGTGAAGTGGGTGACCCAGATATAAGCTTAAGGACTGTATGAAGACATTTGACTAGTTTTGGATTACATGGGAGATGATCAGCAAAGAAACCACTCATCTCTGCAAAAAACAAAAGGTTGAAATTAGAGTTTACACATGAACACATCACTTGGACCAAACAAAAATGGTCAAAGGTATTATGGAGTGATGAATCTAAATTCAATGTCTTCTCTAGTGATGGTATACGATATGTCAGATGACCAGTGAACATAAGATATGACCCAAAATACATAGTTCCTATAATAAAGCATGGTGGTGGCTGCATAATGATATGGGGATGTTTCTCTGTAAAGGGAACTGGTCCAATTCATAGAATTAATGGAATAATGGATCAAACTGTTTATTGGGACATATTGCAGAATCAAATGCTTCCTCATGCACGTCGTTTAATGTCAAGGAAATGGATCTTCCAACAGGACAACGACCCAAAACACCCAGCAAATTTGGTTTTAACAGAAAAGAGTGAATCTTATGACATGGCCAGCCCAATCACCAGACCTCAACCCCATAGAGAATCTTTGGAATGAAGTTGAGTGCCATATACGCCAGCATACATATTTTTGCAAAAAAACAAATGATTGAAATTAGTTTGCACATGAACTGGATGAATTGTGGTCTACCATTCAAAAAGCATGGTATGAGACTCCCAAATCACTGCTTTACAACTTAGTTTATTTAATGGAATGTAGATGTGATGCAGTGATCAGAAGCTCTAATTATGCCACGAAATACTAATATTTTGTCTTAAAAATAGTGGACAAATCTACATACTTTCTTTGGTAGCTCTACTTTTGTCACAGTGTAAAATATATCATCTTTTGTAAATCAGATTTAAAATAAAATTTGTTTGAGTTAATTGAGTATTTTGACTTTTTTTTTTGTGCTCTTTTCAACTATCACAATATTAATTATGTAGTAGGTGGTGAACAAAATAGAGGTTGCATTTTTAAAACATATGTCAAGGATAGCTCTACTTTTGGCCACTACTGTATATGTTTCGTTTACTTTAAAAGAAAAATAAAACATCTTCAGAAACAATTTTACTAACTGCAACTATTGCAATCTGTTATCATATATTATCATTGATACTCCAAAACATTCCAAAGTTAAAACTTACGTTTTCATATAAATTTCTATTTATTAGTTTTTTAAGAAGAAAATATGTACTTGTTCAGTAGTATAGATTTTTAGTTTTCTTTGAGTAATAATACTTGAAAATAAATAATTAAATGGAGTATACAACAGTCAAAAGATCACACATACCAAAAGCTGAATTTTACAAGAGACATGAAAAACATTTTGGCTTTTACATGTTGCAACTGTGACTGCAGAACTTGGATTGTAAGGCATTGCATTAAATTGGATCAATCTGTGGCAGTTAAGTGGATGACAACATGCAGGATTTCAATATATAGGCATTAGAAAGTCAATTACCACACAAAAGGTCCCAATATACAATATGTTTCTCATGGGTGACACTTGGGCAAAAAAGAAAGTTGCACAGTTCTCATGACTGAAGATGATGATTTGATGATGTAGACCAGTGGTTCTTAACCTTTTTTTTACCCATGGACCCCTTTTCTTTTTAATATTTTTTTTTGTGGACTCCCATAGACATTGCAAAGAAAAAAACCTTATACTTTTCACTAATAAAAAAAGAAAGGAAAACGTTCAGAAATGTCACTGTCAAGTGACATGATGCTGATGGTATAAGATTCTCCTAACAAACCCCAGCTTTATAGTCTCTCTTTGACCTTCTTTGACCTTTGTCAATGAGATATATATGTCATATATGTATTCAATATTTTAAATAATTTATTTTATAACTCTTATGCAAGAAATGAGTAATAAAGATATTGGCAATATATATACTGTAGAAATTTAATTCTCAGTAAAACAATTGTTCTGAAGTAGAATTACTCTACAGACTACTAAAAAATCACCGTGAACCCCCCAATTTGGTATTTTTTTTCTGTGGACTCCCAGTAATGTTACATGGATTTTGGTTGAGAACCACTGATATAGACAAATGACAAAAAGAAGGTTTATTTTTCATATTGAATGATTTTATTGGGTAAGGAAATTGCAAAGTTTTGAAACCCATTACTTTGTAGGATTATAAAAAACAGGGCAAGTTTTTTTAATAAGTAAAAATGCTTCAGTTTGAGTAATATACAGATAAAGGCTATAGTGTGTTACACATTGTCTTTCCATGTTGCTTCCTAACAGCTGTCATTTATGTTTGTACCTTATTTTCTACATGATTTTATCTACAAAAATAATAGAAGACTTTCTTATTACTGTAACGAGCCCTATATGTACAGTACATCAAAAGATCTTAAATGCACACCATAGATGGAACCCACAATTGCAAATCAAATCCAAGTTTTGTATTTAGAGCTTTTCAGTTTGTGAAAGAATGATGTGGATTTCTGGATGCAATGTGGACACTCATAAGTAACACAACCACACAGAAATCAGAATTTGGGTGGAAATGGTGCTTGGGATTCTTTGACTTCTGTACACCCAAATATAAAATAATAAATTGGAAATCTTTATTCATATATTAAAATTTTATATAAGTAACTGAATATACTATTTTTATTAATTACTTTAAATTTTGTAATAATTTATTAATATATTGTCTAAATTTCAACTTTAATATATTTATTTTTGAAGCAATTATATCATTTAAAGCAGTGATTCTCAAACTTTTTCGATCCACCGTCCCCTTTGTTCCATAAAGTTATACCCAACGCCCCCTAACCCATTTTCTCTTGTGTGAGAAAAGGATTGGAAATATTCTTAGGAAAACTTTTCTATGAATCTCACACTTTGTGCCCTTACTGTACATTGTTCTCATCATCTGGAAACCATTAAACGCAATGTTTCCTCTTATCAGCCCCAATTTTGCCTTTGGTCACCGTTCAATACCCTGCCTCTATCATAGATCTATTCATCGCGCCAGAAGGGGGCGTTATTGCTTACTTTGAGAAACGCTGAGCTAAAATAAAAGTCAATGTGTTAGAAATATTCAAGTTGTGACCTTCAATAAAAAATAAAAAATATATAAAATGTCAACATTTTATATATATTCCGTCGAATTTTTATATATAGAGAATGTCTGCCGTCGCCCCTCTATATTTCCTTAACGCCCCCCAATTCTCTTTGAGCCTTCTACTGCCCCCCTGAAAGCCTCCAGCGCCCACAAGGGGGCATTATCGCCCACTTTGAGAAACGCTGATTTAAAGGTACATTAAAAATTATGGTTTTTTGAGAAATATTAAATATAATGTATTTAATTACATTGAATTTTTGTAAAAATTCTATTAAAATTATATTTTAAATTAGTTGGTTATTTTAACTAACAAAGCTAAATTTTTTAGAGAAATTTATCATACCAAACGAATGCAAAGATTAACATGTGTTTTATGGTCAATGGATAACAAATATATTTTGAGTGGTTCAGATGAAATGAACATCAGAATTTGGAAATCAAATGCTTCTGAACAGTTGGGTGTTGTAAGTAATAATACAATAATTAATTTCTTTCAGAATATTTCAAGTATATTTAATGGAATATACATATCTTTATATAGCTTTCATATAGAGAAAGATCTGCAGCAAATTACAATAAAAAATTAAAGGAAAAGTTTGGTCAACATTCTCAAATCAAACGTATTTCTCGACATCGCCATATACCAAAACATGTTTATAATGCTTGTAAAGAAAAACAAGTTATGTTAAATTCACGTAAGAGAAAGTGAGTATTTTTTACTTTTGTTATATATATATATAGTATATTAAATAAGCTGACTTTATTTAAAATAAATAATGAAATTCTCAACAGCATTATATTTAATTTTTAATATTGAAGTTTTCTTGCATTTTATTAGTTAAAATAATAAACTATTAAAAAATACAATATATACCATATTTTTACGAAGATATCTCACAAATAAGTTTAAAGAATGACCAGAACTGTATTAAAATTTTTCCATAATCTGCACTAATGTATGGTAAATTTTGCAATTTACCATATACTTAGAATCCTAACTTTGCAAAGATTAGATTAAGTTTTTTTTGTTTTTTGAGTGTATCAACTATTTCAATTGTTTACTTTATTTAAAATTTTTTAATGGTTTTATTTATTATGATTAGCTATTTTTGCAATTTACCATGTTTCTTTGAAAAACACATGACCTTTATCTTGTGTCTTCACTCCATTTTTTCATTTGAATGTATCTCAAAGCTTCTTTTCTTATTGTATTTCTCAAAATTTAAATAATTTTGATATTTTTATCTCTTAATTTTCCTTGTTTTAAATTAAAATGTAAAAGCACATTATACAATTTTTAATTTTATTTAATTGTTTTTTCCCCTTTTATTTCCTACATTTATATTTGTTTGTATAACTGTTAATTTTTGTATAATGTGTACTGTACCCATTCAGTTGAAGGTATCAATTGTCCTTTGGGACTTTTCCACTTATTTGTAAAAAAAATAATGTTTACCTTAATTCTCCAAAGTGACATTGAAAATATAGCACTTAGTTTTGTGCAGTTTAAAAAGTTTTATATCAAATACTTCAATTAAAGTTCCACTTTGAAATGGCCATAAAAGGAAAACTACTGGACAAAATGTTATCAAACTTGGTAATAGTTTATAGGAAGTCGTGGGATTTTGTTCCCTNAGCTATCAAGAAAGGGACTGCAATTAACTTTAAAGATTTTGCAGTGTATCACATGCTTGGAGAGCATTATTTGAACTGTTATAGTATTCTTTATCCCTACAGACTACTAAAAAATCACCGTGAACCCCCAATTTGGTATTTTTTTTCTGTGGACTCCCAGTAATGTTACATGGATTTTGGTTGAGAACCACTGATATAGACAAATGACAAAAAGAAGGTTTATTTTTCATATTGAATGATTTTATTGGGTAAGGAAATTGCAAAGTTTTGAAACCCATTACTTTGTAGGATTATAAAAAACAGGGCAAGTTTTTTTAATAAGTAAAAATGCTTCAGTTTGAGTAATATACAGATAAAGGCTATAGTGTGTTACACATTGTCTTTCCATGTTGCTTCCTAACAGCTGTCATTTATGTTTGTACCTTATTTTCTACATGATTTTATCTACAAAAATAATAGAAGACTTTCTTATTACTGTAACGAGCCCTATATGTACAGTACATCAAAAGATCTTAAATGCACACCATAGATGGAACCCACAATTGCAAATCAAATCCAAGTTTTGTATTTAGAGCTTTTCAGTTTGTGAAAGAATGATGTGGATTTCTGGATGCAATGTGGACACTCATAAGTAACACAACCACACAGAAATCAGAATTTGGGTGGAAATGGTGCTTGGGATTCTTTGACTTCTGTACACCCAAATATAAAATAATAAATTGGAAATCTTTATTCATATATTAAAATTTTATATAAGTAACTGAATATACTATTTTTATTAATTACTTTAAATTTTGTAATAATTTATTAATATATTGTCTAAATTTCAACTTTAATATATTTATTTTTGAAGCAATTATATCATTTAAAGCAGTGATTCTCAAACTTTTTCGATCCACCGTCCCCTTTGTTCCATAAAGTTATACCCAACGCCCCCTAACCCATTTTCTCTGGTGTGAGAAAAGGATTGGAAATATTCTTAGGAAAACTTTTCTATAAATCTCACACTTTGTGCCCTTACTGTACATTGTTCTCATCATCTGGAAACCATTAAACGCAATGTTTCCTCTTATCAGCCCCAATTTTGCCTTTGGTCACCGTTCAATACCCTGCCTCTATCATAGATCTATTCATCGCGCCAGAAGGGGGCGTTATTGCTTACTTTGAGAAACGCTGAGCTAAAATAAAAGTCAATGTGTTAGAAATATTCAAGTTGTGACCTTCAATAAAAAATAAAAAATATATAAAATGTCAACATTTTATATATATTCCGTCGAATTTTTATATATAGAATTTGTCTGCCGTCGCCCCTCTATATTTCCTTAACGCCCCCCAATTCTCTTTGAGCCTTCTACTGCCCCCCTGAAAGCCTCCAGCGCCCACAAGGGGGCATTATCGCCCACTTTGAGAAACGCTGATTTAAAGGTACATTAAAAATTATGGTTTTTTGAGAAATATTAAATATAATGTATTTAATTACATTGAATTTTTGTAAAAATTCTATTAAAATTATATTTTAAATTAGTTGGTTATTTTAACTAACAAAGCTAAATTTTTTAGAGAAATTTATCATACCAAACGAATGCAAAGATTAACATGTGTTTTATGGTCAATGGATAACAAATATATTTTGAGTGGTTCAGATGAAATGAACATCAGAATTTGGAAATCAAATGCTTCTGAACAGTTGGGTGTTGTAAGTAATAATACAATAATTAATTTCTTTCAGAATATTTCAAGTATATTTAATGGAATATACATATCTTTATATAGCTTTCATATAGAGAAAGATCTGCAGCAAATTACAATAAAAAATTAAAGGAAAAGTTTGGTCAACATTCTCAAATCAAACGTATTTCTCGACATCGCCATATACCAAAACATGTTTATAATGCTTGTAAAGAAAAACAAGTTATGTTAAATTCACGTAAGAGAAAGTGAGTATTTTTTACTTTTGTTATATATATATATAGTATATTAAATAAGCTGACTTTATTTAAAATAAATAATGAAATTCTCAACAGCATTATATTTAATTTTTAATATTGAAGTTTTCTTGCATTTTATTAGTTAAAATAATAAACTATTAAAAAATACAATATATACCATATTTTTACGAAGATATCTCACAAATAAGTTTAAAGAATGACCAGAACTGTATTAAAATTTTTCCATAATCTGCACTAATGTATGGTAAATTTTGCAATTTACCATATACTTAGAATCCTAACTTTGCAAAGATTAGATTAAGTTTTTTTTGTTTTTTGAGTGTATCAACTATTTCAATTGTTTACTTTATTTAAAATTTTTTAATGGTTTTATTTATTATGATTAGCTATTTTTGCAATTTACCATGTTTCTTTGAAAAACACATGACCTTTATCTTGTGTCTTCACTCCATTTTTTCATTTGAATGTATCTCAAAGCTTCTTTTCTTATTGTATTTCTCAAAATTTAAATAATTTTGATATTTTTATCTCTTAATTTTCCTTGTTTTAAATTAAAATGTAAAAACACATTACACACTTTTTAATTTTATTTAATTGTTTTTTCCCCTTTTATTTCCTACATTTATATTTGTTTGTATAACTGTTAATTTTTGTATAATGTGTACTGTACCCATTCAGTTGAAGGTATCAATTGTCCTTTGGGACTTTTCCACTTATTTGTAAAAAAAATAATGTTTACCTTAATTCTCCAAAGTGACATTGAAAATATAGCACTTAGTTTTGTGCAGTTTAAAAAGTTTTATATCAAATACTTCAATTAAAGTTCCACTTTGAAATGGCCATAAAAGGAAAACTACTGGACAAAATGTTATCAAACTTGGTAATAGTTTATAGGAAGTCGTGGGATTTTGTTCCCTCCCAAAAAAATAGTTTAAAAACAAAATATATATATATATATATTTATTTATTTATTTATTTCTGTTTCTTCTGTTTCACTTACATTATCAGACTGTTATAGATATAATTTATAAAAGAAGTGGGGGAAAACAATTACCAATAGCATACTATTATCAAGGTACAAGTTCCTCCTCTTTTATTTTAATCAATAATGTCTTTACTGGGTTCAAACTTACTCTATTTAATAGAAAATAAGTAGGTGCATTTACTAAAATTGATTAAAATATGGATTACTGCACAGAAAATGAATAGGACAGGATTAAAGATATGTGTGAGGTCTCAGACAAAGTCTGAACCCTCACCTTTTCAAAACAAAGAATCTGAAAAGAAACATTTACTTTTTATAAATTGTTTGCCATCAGAATTTCCAACAACTAACATTTTTAAATAATAATTGTTAAAGAGAGGTACACAACTCTTGATTTAAACAACAGAAGTCCCAAGATCAGTAAATATTGATGGGATTGAAATTTGGCATCAACTTTTCTCACACTTCAAGTCAGTCTTAAATTACCCCTAGAAACAGGTAATAGACCAATCAAGAAATGAGGACAAGGGATGGAGATCAATTTGGATGTACAATCAAGGGACAAACTTTATAAAAAACTTGTGTTGCAATGACACCAGGGCATTTTTTATAATTTATTTCTATCTGACTTTCCATGCTTCTTGGATTAATCCTGTGCTATTACCATCACCACTGAATTCTCTTCTACTCATCAAACTGTGTATACTTGTGCCTCTCTTTGACAAAAATGATTGCCCTTTTTTACTCTTTGGATCTGAAATGTTCCATCTCTTTCCAACAAACTTTTTCAGTGTAGATGCCTAATTCGTGGACTTCCACCAAATTTGACAACAATTGAAGGATTGTGAAAGAATCTCTCTCTCTCTCATTGATGAATGGTTGTACCAAACAACAAGCCTACCTCTGTACTAAGCACACACTCACATGTAAAACCCCATTCTGTTGCACCATTGACCAAAATGGCATATGCCACTTCCATGCAAAGGATTTCTTACATTTTCTAAAAAATATGTTGGCAACTTTATACTTTGTATTATGAATTTAACTTTTATATAACCTTTTTTTTGTACAAAGAAAATTTGTAATTTATTATGAACAAAATTAGCAGATACATTGTCCTTTCACATAAAACATACAGTAGAGCATCGATTATCCAACCCCCAATCAACCGTCACATCGGTTAACCAACCGCGTCTAGTTGGCAAATTCAAATGTCAGTAGTATATAAATGAGAGTTCTTCCCCAAAAGTTTTTAAAAATAAAAATTAGGATAAATGTTTAAAAATTCAATTAAAAAAAGTTAAGAAATTTAAATGTTAAAAAATGGCATTTACATATTTCATCCTAAAGATTCTATTAATTCGCAAAGAAGAAAGATGTTTAAATAACAGTAAAACAGTAAGTATAAAAAAAAGTCAAACAAACTCATAATATGAGCTTTATACATATTCCCACAATTTTTCATACCCTTGTACACAAATTTTAAATCTTTCATATCATCTAAATCTTCGTCCCTTAAGTTTTTATTAAATCGATCAGGAAGAAAAACTTTAAATTCATTCAGTTCTCCATCCCTAAGAACTACTATTTTTTTTATCACCAAAGCGTGTTGATATTGTTTTAACATAAAGAATTGGATATTCATAATCAATTTCTAACTCGTTTAATTTCCTAGTTTGAGTATTTTGAAGCTTACCAATATTGTTTAGTTTTTTCAATGTCTCCATTTATATAGGAAAAAATTTAATCAATATTAAAATAGCCTTATCTATCATTATGTAAAAATTTACATTGTAGTGTACATAAAAATCTACCATAAGGTGTATCAACATAATCAAAGATATGTAAATGCCCCCTTCCATCCTTCCAAATATAACAAAACCTTTTCTCCCCACCGCAGTGAATTAATACCAACTCAAGATTACTAATATCAATCTCCATTTATATAGGAAAAAATTAATCAATATAATTTATAAATATTGAAATACTATATTTTTGCAAGAAATTCTCAACATCATTTGCTTCCTCATGGATTCTGATTAGGATCTTCGTATTCATCCGGTTCTGTATAATCTTTTATCTTAATCATTTATTTGTTTAAAAATTTCAGCTTGTGCTAAATGATATTTCAGCTTGAGCAAAATAATATTTAACTTGAGCTAAATGTTATTTCAGCTCAAGCTTAAATTCATTAGCTCAAGCTGAAATATCATTTTTGGTAAAACTCTTAGGTTATCAACTTGAAAATATGGTGCTAAAAGTATTTCTATCAAAAATATTATAGAATGTCACTAATTTTTAATCTTTTAAACTCCAGATAAAAGCTAATCTCAACTGACTGAAACAAATTCCTTCTAAACAGTCCATTACAAATGCAACTATTTATTTAAAGTAATTCAAAATCATAATGCATTTAAAGAACATATTCTGTGATTTTGTTCTTTGGGTTTTATTTGTAATGGATTAAAAATGCAAAATGTTATTTATTGTAAAATTTATTAATTCTGTATTCTTAGAAACTATGGACTTTTTAAGTTTATTTTCCAAAACCAAAAAATTAATTATTAAGAACTTAATAAAATTATCAGCAACACTTTGATACTTTTTAATATTCTATTTGTGGATGTACTTAAATTTTATTTTATATATTTTCAGAGAAGCAAACAGAAGACTTCATAGTAAACCAGGAACTGTACCATATGTTTCAGAGAAAGAAAAACATATTGTTAATGAAAGTGAATAAAATTACATACTTATGTATATATAATTAATTTAGTTTAATCATTTTTATAAATTATTTAAATAAGTATTGATTCAGAAAACTAAACATTTAAAATTGTAAATACCAAAATATTTAGTCCAACTTTTAAGTAATTATTATTAAAATAGTATAATTAATCCAATTAATTTGAAACTGGGCAACAGATTTAAAGAAAATTATAAATATAGTAAAATTATAAGTGTTATAATGAACGTTTTTTTCTTCCAATTTATGATTGATATTTATTTGAATATCAAAATAAAACTTTTTAATATATTACATTTATTTATTTATTTATTACATAAGAATAGCTCAAAAATTATTCACTTCTAAATAAAATATTTTACAATTATAACTGATTTGGACATTTTATATTTTATAGAGTGTTAGATTATTGCTATATATTCATTAATTATGTGCTGTCTATAGAATGTTTAATTAGTTGCAAAGGAAACTGAAGGAAAAGTTGACTTACACAAACAAAAATATAATTTCCAATTATTTATGTTGTAATTTTGAAGTTTTCAACATTGAATCATCTGATTATAAAAGAAAAATAGTTTTAATTACAAACATATCGTTTGCTTGTAATGAAATTACAGCCTTAAATTATATTAAATACAATGTGATTCTCACAATGTCATTCTTGTGGACAGTACTGAAATTAGCACGTAACGAATGCTTCTAAGCAACAAACAGCTAAGCAAGCAAACCAATGATGTAGTGTGTTTAACGTGAAAAACTACACAGGTTTGCTTACTTTTGGGGATGCTTTTTAAGTATTAAATAGTTATTTTCCACAGAAAAATTTATTGAAAAGACTTTTTAATGGAAATTAAATGCTGTATTTTTTTTCTTCTTTTCTTTAGAAATTGTAAACAAGTTCAGAAAACCATGTAGTTAAAATGAAAAATTCCAAAAACTAGATGTAATAACTAAAATTAATACCAAAAACCTTAAATCCAGTAAAAAAAATGGAATGTTTGTTAACAGAACAAACATTTATTAGGACCGTCATACATCATTGCATGCTCGAATGAAACTCCAAAACATTCCAAAGTTAAAACTTACGTTTTNAAAATGAAAAATTCCAAAAACTAGATGTAATAACTAAAATTAATACCAAAAACCTTAAATCCAGTAAAAAAATGGAATGTTTGTTAACAGAACAAACATTTATTAGGACCGTCATACATCATTGCATGCTCGAATGAATTTCAGGTGTGATGATAATATGCTCTTTAGAACTGTCACCTACAGCAAAGTTTTGTACAATATCTTAAAGGAAATAGCAGAACTCTCGCCCCATATACACATTTTGCATATAAAAGGGAGTCCTACTGCCTTCTCAGTATGCACAAATGATGGGGATCCCATTGATGAGATGACTCTATTTGAGGTCTACAGGATGGATCATTGCTACGAATATGTAGGAGCTACATATAGATTTTTGGGCAGTAGAATAAAGTAACATAAAGAGACAATTAGAAAGCACCTATGTACTGTACAACTGCCTTGGTGGCCTTTGTTTTGACTAATGATGTTTCTTTAGATAGTGTGTGCCTACCACATTGTGCCTCAGCTCCAACATGACATAAATATATGGAAAGTCTGAAAATTTATAAAGCTATCAAGAAAGGGACTGCAATTAACTTTAAAGATTTTGCAGTGTATCACATGCTTGGAGAGCATTATTTGAACTGTTATAGTATTCTTTATCACCTTTTGCTATATTTATATTTTTACTTACAATATTTTTATATTTTACTGTATTTATTTTTTTATTTTACTGTATGTATCATTTTATTTTGCATTTAATATTTTTCTTGTTAATTTTTTAATCTTATTGTCTATATTTTATTTACAGTAATATGTTTATGCTTCTGTGCATGTAACCCACTATGTAAGTTTGCATTTTTCGAATGTTTATAATTTCAAATTTGCTTTCTGTTTCATTTATTATATCCCATCATAGAACCTGAAGATAGCCATTATACATGGTCGAAAATGTTCCGTTAAAAACGTTCCATGTTTTTACTGGGTTTAAGGATTTTTAGTTTTAAGTTTCGAAAGCATTTATTTTCAATTAAATGCTTTCTGAACTTTAGAGAAAAGTAGCTTTTTAATTTATTTTTATTTTTTGTAACAAAATAATAAATAGGTACTCAAGTAAAAAATTTTCTTGGTAGATCATAATGTACAGGCTGAGTGGAAAGTAACTAGGCACTGAGAAACTGCTATAAATTTTGTAACACAGGAAATGTTAATTCGAACTCAGATAGTTCGAAATCCCGTTAGTTTGTAACTATACCGTTTGTCCCGGCTGGATGTATAGAGACTTACATGTTAAGAAATTCTGTTAGTTTGATATACGGTTACTTCAGCTAATAAGTGTACTGTACATCTCAAAATTAAAATTACCGGTCCGTTCCCACCCGGCCGCCCCATTATGGGCCTGGCCGAACCCATAATATACTTGCTAAAAGAGGCCCTCTTAGTGCCCACAAGGCGGAAAGAGTTTTTAAAAACGGAAAAGGAAAATGGGCCATTCTTATGAAAACGGTAGAGGGGAAATCGTTTGCAAACGACAAGTTTAAAGTGAAAAATGCTGCATCAAAACTTGAAGTTCAAATGTAGGTGACTCCTAAGCACACAAGAAAGGGAACAGATTCATAGCAATCTTTGGAACTTGTCTGTTAAGCTTTCATAATCGATACATAAGAAGAAATGAGAAGAAACGCACGAGTGCTGAGAATAGTAGAAGGAAATTTAGTTACAGATGCTCAGAGAAAATCAGTGTACAAAAAGTTTTTCGCAACATTGAATGTGTCTGAAAAGAGAATACAGTATTATTATTCAAATCTGTTCCAACATGAAACAGGTATTCATTGGGAGAAACGAAGAGGAAAGCACGAGTAAATTCACATCCTAGTCTCGCTTAGATGAAGTGAGGAATCACACTGCATCTTTTTCTTGCATTGAATCATACTATTTCAAATTGATGCAAGGCAATATCTGGAATAAGGTTTATCAATTTCAATTATGTACGACCTTTACAAAGAACAAACAATAGATCATGTCTCACTATCGGGACATTCCAATTTTCAACGCTGACTCAGTGCTCATCTCAACGTTCATTAAAATTCGTTCCTTTTTTCAACGTTGAGTTAGCGCTGACTCAACACACTCAGCACTCGACAGATATGTTGACTGCTACTTTCCAATGAATTGTGGGAAATTCGTAAGACATTCGAATGGAATCCATCTTGCTGAGAATGGAATTATGGGAACTAAGCACTTCCTACTCGAATTGGAACGTCGTTGATGACGTCAAATTGTTGACTTCAACACTCAACACTCGCGTTGAAAATTGGAATGTCTCGTATGGGTTTACAGGAAAATCTTTAACAACGAATTTAATTTGTCCTTTCACAAGAGAAAGACTTGTGATATATGTGAAGACCAAAAACAAAGACAATACAGAGGAAACAGATATATTTCAACAGCACATTCAAAGGGAAAATCGGACAAAGACCAAGATTGGTGGACAAGATGATCGTTGTGTTCTATCATTTGATTTAGAAAACATGATTGTTCTTGCAAGAGCTACAGTGGCATTTCTTCTGCAAGAGAAAGCTAAACTGCTACAATTTAACTGGTCACTGTTCACTCTTAGGCAAAGTTCATTGTGCATTCTGGCATGAACAAATAACTGGGCATGCAGGATATCACATCGAAGTGCATTGGTCAAAATTTTAGATCTTGTTGTGCAGGATTATCCAAATATTAAAAAATTTATATGGTATTCATACTACCCCAAACAGAAACAATATCATGTCAACTGCTTTGAAGTATTTTCTTGAAAAGTAACCAAAAATAAATAAATAAAATAAAATGGAAACAATTGAAAAAAAAATTCAGAATTAGGGCATTTAGTTATCCAAGAAGTTGGATGCAGCTCACAGTATATTTCTGAGGACCTCAAGGCTCGTTTTAGAACGAGCCTTGAGGTCCTCAGAAATATACAGCCCTGTTTCATTCATACACATATTGTTGAAGGCAACGAAGAGGAAAAACAAATTTGTTTTTATTTCACTCAAACGTAAAAATTTTCTTGATTACCAACACGTTGCTAAGTCATCTTTCAATTATGACATTATACAGTTTACCAGTGGCATGCTGTCATTAGAAGCAGTGGATGCGCCGCTTCCCTTGTATTTTCTAAAAAAAAAATACATATTAATTTTAATTATATGAAAATAATCGCACAATATTATATTGTAACCGCATTATGTATCTTATTACAAATTTCTATACTACACGTGAGAAAAAAGATAAGATCGCTATTGTATATTCGAATATTAGTGGTGGAGTGGATGCGCCCTATCGTCAGCATCCAAAAAGCCAGATTCGCGCACACGGTTTACAGAGCACCAACCTCACCCGGTTTAGTCGGTGGAAGCCTAGGACATCGGGTGGATATTACTCGTATATCGCATTCAATTCTATCCGGGACCGGTTCCGGGC